TTTATATTTTTATTTTGTTTTCACTAAATGAATATTAAAAACTAGAAATGAACTGGATGCTTAGCCACTGAGTGTTTCTTCTGATTTTTGTTTCAAAGATTTCAAACAAACAGAAAAAAATTTCTCAAGACATTTTTCTGTTTTATATGATTTTATTATATTTCTCTATATATTAATAAACTATGAAAATAAAAAAAAATGTCATTCATTAAGAATGAAGAGGAAAACAAATATTGCCTTGACATCAAATATCTTTTATAAACAATTGTTATCACATTTTATGTACTTTGTTTTTTAAAATAAATCCTCAAGTTGAGGGTATTTATAATCTTGATCATTTCAAATAAGATTTTTTTTTTTTTTCTGAAAATGTATTTGTGTAAAATATTTCACAAAATTTTTTTTTTGCCTTTAATTTTTCAAGAAAAATTTCTTTGTTTTATATACAAGAAAATATGATATATGTCATTATGAACAGATTAGTAAATGAACACCAAGATCTTGGAATGGTCTACAGAAAAAGATTATTTAATGAAATAAAATAATTTTTGCCATTGATATCTTACACAAATGGGAACTTATTTTTGATATAGACCAGAGCCATACTAATTCTGTTTGCTAATTAAGAGGATAGCCAGGGATTGAAAAGACTTAGAAAATCTTGCTATATTATTCAGTAAATATTTGTTCATATATATTAAATTTTTTTAATGTTGACAAAATTTTTTTATCTTATGTATTATTAAATTTAATTGACAGAAATCTTTTATATCAGACTGTTCCAAGTTTGTTAAAAATCTGTTTATGTTGGAAGAATGCACAATATAAAAAAAAAAAAAGATATAGACTACAATCATAGACATCAATATGGTATGATTATAATTTAAAAAATTCAGACATATTCCAAAACTCTCTTAAATTTTTTTGCTCCATATTTACACTGTCTATTATTTAAAGAAAAAATGGGCAAAATAATCATTTTTCAAGAAGATAAGGCCTGCCAGTTGATTAATACTTTATTTTTAATATTGTAAATTTGAGAAGCACTGTGGAGTAATGGATGTGCATTTCTGATTGAGGGATAAATTGAGTAAAAATATAATTTAAGTCAAAACCATTAATTTTTTTATGTAAATTATATAAAATTGAAAAGGAAAATGAAAAAATTTTTTTTTTTTTTATTTATAATAATAGCAAGACACAATTTCGGGTTAAATTTATTTGGATGGCAATTTAAATCTAACAGAAAGAAATGGCAACTATGAGAAAAAGTTTTGTCTTGTCAGTCCAATTTATAAAAATATCCATGAATTCTTCAAGCATTTATCACGCATGGCATATAACTGACTGCATATTTGAGAAAAACTGCTGAAATTAAAAAAACTTACCTATTCATTTAAGGCAATTTGCATATTCATCAAGTTATGATTTTTTTTAACAAAAAATTATAAATAAATTTATATATTATTCTGAATATTAAGCTATCATTTTATTTAACTTTGAAAAAGACATTCCAACGATACCATTAAAACATAATAATAAATTTAAAAAAAAAAAAAAGGATAGAATAAATATGATCAAATGGCACTTCAACTATTTGTTTCTAGTCTTAGGCATTCTATAACTTATCTTTCAGATGAACATCTACATTTTTATTTTTTTTTATTTTTTTTTTTAGTTTTGTGTTCATTAAAAAAATAATTTTAAAAGTATTATGAACAATTTATTTTAAAAAAAAATTATCTAAAATTCTGTTTAATTTTATCTTCAAGTTTCTTGAAGCTCAGTTAAAATGAAGAACTGGTATAACTACCTAGTATTTGATGACATTTTTCAAACAAAAAAGGAGGAGGGAGTTTATACATTTGGTATGCCATCACATATTCAGTAAAAAAAGTGCACAGCCAATAAGACATCTTTTATTCTCTCTTAATGGATCATGAAAAACATTTTATCAGGAATTTTTTTTTCTGTTGCTAGCTGATGAATTGAAAACTGAGACAATAATTCATAATGTGAACAGAAAAATGTGTAACCATTTTCATTTTTGCAGCACATTAACTCCTCTATAATGATTATATAATGCTGAATAGTTTTTCAAGCAGGTTCTGTTAAAAAAATGTTCAGACCTTTTTTCTTTACAATTTGGTCAATGTTGTTTTTTTTTTGTTTTTTTTTTTTTTTGTTTGTTTGTTTAGCCTGATAGTTCTAGGTCTGATGGTTGAATGTTCTTTTCTGTCACAATTCAGTTTCATATATTGAATCTATCAACAAGTCTTAATTCTACTATGACAAGTATGAAATCTTTCTTCAGGTATGCAATAATGATAAAAAATATCTAAAATGGGAATATCTGGCTGAATAATACAGACCTTCTTTAGCAAATCTCAGAAGCTTTTTACATTTATTTAAATTGGCCAGAAAGCTGTAACATCCACATTCTTGGTATTTTTAGGTTTTTGTTGACTGCTACTTGAGTATTTGGTAGTCTGCTTCCTAGACATAATACCAGAACACAATATAAAATTTATTTTTGATGTTTTAAATCTCAATAAATTTTCTAATTAAAATCTTTATGCCTATTCACAGACTGGGAATGAAAAGAAAGATAAGATAGATCAAAAATCAAGAAGTTTTCATTACACTAAATCTAGAGTTGGAGATAACACCTAAGAAATTAATTTTAAAAAAAACATTCAATACATCTTCAATGTTCAAATATATAATCTAGTATTTAAAATAATAAGAAAATAAATTTTCTTTTTTTTTTTTTTTTTTTTTTTTTCAATAAATATAATAAAAAGCCAGGTTGGAAATTAAGAGCACAAAACAAGAAAATTAGTTTTTAATTGCAAAAAAAAAAAATATATGAATTAAAAAAAAAATTGGGGGGCTAAAATTTAAAAAAAAAGGTCATTATTAAATACACAAGTACTCATTTTCAGAAATCTAAACTCTACTTAAAAAAATGAAACAGCAAAATTGCAAATACACTCAGTACAGTAGATAATAAAATTTTAGTTGACCGTTGAAACAATTTATTTAAAAAAAAGGTATGTTAATTATATTTGTTCTTTGAGAATTGGCATACATAACATCTTTTGCCTCAAGGACTGGAAATACATGAGATGGGGGGTCATGTTTTGGTAACATTAATTTTACAATAAAGCACCTTTCTGAAAATAGGTTTTGCAATGGCAAAGCATCTGGTTCATTTATATTCTTTAATATGAAAAATTAAATATTTTAGTGAAATCTATGCATGACATTGAGATTTTAATGGATAATATGGTACCTAAGGATGGCTGTACTACAGGGTTGTATTATACTAAATTCATGTTATACACAAAAAAATACAGTAAGACACATACTGGTAGATATAAACCCCATTTTACATCAGTTTTTGGTAATATTTGCATGCCCAAGCACACACACACACACTCACAAATGGAGCTTTATATTATTAATGGAAATGCCCTAAGTGAAATGGCAATGAAAGTTCTTAAGAAAAAAAATAAGTAAATAAAATGAAAAACTTGAAGCTAAGACTTAAAAAAAAAAAAATAAATCTAGCTACAAACAAAGAAGGCTTACACTGATACATTATATTCAAGGCAAAACAAAAAAACTTATATTTTCTTAATAGAAGTAATTATTGCTTCTACTACTTTTCTGATCATGAAAATACTCTGCCATTACAAAATCTCCGAGCTACTTGAGTGGATTTTCAGAGCTAAAAGCAAGCAGGCATAGTCTCTCACCCCAAAACTGCAGGACACATATTCCAACAAGACCACCAATGCGTAACTGAAAACCTGGATATACTGAATCCTCCCTCTCTCTCTCATATATATATATATATATATATAGGAGGTATGGTGGAGTAATGGATAGCGGCTTGGATTGAGGAATCGCAGAGCCGAGTTCAAATTCCAGTCGAATCCATTGCATTCACTTACGTGCTAATACCCTTGGGAAAGGTATGGATCCTCTCCCTCCAGCTATGGGTAAAATAGCAGGACAGACTAGGTTCTATGACCTTGGATGGCAACTGGTCTAGAAGGACAACACCTGCGGAGGGTCGTTTGGGAATCTTGTGGCATTCGGTGCACCAGGTCTCTGTATTTGTCCCTTCAAAAAGTGTGGATGGTCCTTGTCGGGCTGTCGGTTTCCTGACCCTCATCGTCCCGAATCTCGACGGGAGAGTCAATTATTATTATTATATATATATATATATATATATATATAAGTCAATTTTTATCTCCTCTCTCATAGTAAACATTTTACAGGTTCTCTTGGGTGTGACTACTGCTGCTACTTTTTTTTTTTTTTGACAAATAAGTAAAATTTATGAATTGTGTGTTTCTGGTATTGACTATGGCAGCAAAGCCATTGCTGGTGAGAGGAGGGCATTGTTTTTATTATTATATTTATTTATTTTTATATTTTGTAAAAACACATTTTAAAATATTAAATTAAACAGGGAAAGCCCAAAATGTAAAGTTTTTTGTTTGTTTTTTTCCCTCTACTTCTCTCTTCAAAAATTCAATCGAGGATAAAATAGGACACTAATATAGACGTTAGCAATATGATAACAATAATGTTTGATGCAGCCCAGCAGTCATTTCTTCCATTTTCACAGGGAAGCCTGCTTTCAATCATTCTCATCTGAATTTGGGAGTGCAATATGCATAGCACAAAGAACATGTTCTAAGGCACAACATTGACAATTATTTATTAGATGCTCCTCAATTGCAGACCCAGAATCAACAGACTTACGCAAATTATTAATCAGCTGACCTTTCATTCTGTGAAATTTATTTTTAGTAATATTGATAAGAAGGAAGCTAACTGCGTCTCTTCTACAAATATCAAATCACGATAATAAAAAGCAAATTACAAAGAAATTACTCTAATTTGAAAACAAGATTCATATGATGTTTATACTTTGAATCTTGCAACTGTTTTCTGTATTTGTTTTCTTTTTTTTTCTTTTTCAGCTGTCCCTTTTTACACCGGACAGCAGGAGATACAGAGCGTCGCTATCACTTAAGATATTACAAGACTGGTACTTGTATATATGAAACAGATTCTAAGGGCCATTGTGTCAAAAATGGGCCTCATTGTGCTTTTGCTCATGGAGCTCATGATTTAAGGCCTCCAGTTTATGACATCCGTGAACTTCAGCAGATGGAGACAACAGAAAAGTCTTTGCATACAGTTACACCCAGCAGTTTAGAAAAAGATCGGGCTTTAACCGAGGATCCACGATGGAATGGTGAGTAGAGAAACATTTTTATTATTATCGTCATTATGTTGAATTTGTTTTGTCTTCCGCTTTCTCATGAATTTCCTTTTTGTCGAACTTTGTAGACATAAGGAAAGATCAAAGTTGTTGTTTTCTCTGTCAAGAGGAGCCAGTTTGTTTCAACTGGATCAAGTATACTTTTCTTTTTATGTCTGACTATATTTGTGACATTTTCTCAAAGACTTTAATGAAAAATATTTTAAGTTCTATCCTTGCTGATCAAACTCAAAACTCAACAATTTGTCTCTTTTGGCTGGAACTCTTTGGACCAGTCCCTGCACTGGATTTTGCTAACAACTCCACATAATTTGCGTTTTCTGGAACCAACCACAAATGCTCTCACTCACTCACACGTGTTTGTTTCATTAAAGACTGCAAAGAATACATTTACATTATTTATTTAAAAGTATTTTCATTAGTAGTTTGAGATTATAAATATATTAGGGTGTTTGGAATGTAATTATATATTTCATTGCTATGAATTAGGAGTCACCCAGCCATGGCAAAACCAATGTTGAATGGTATGAAACTCTCTTCTATCCAACAGTGTGACATTTATTGTATATTTCAGAGTTTAAGCTCATGAGGCCTATAATGCTAAAAATCAACATGCTTGTCACTGTGCAAATTTCAAATGGATAGTATTGCTTCAGGCATTTAAAAACATTTGTGCAGTATGTTGGATAAGTTTTAGAAAGGTTTAAAAATGGTGATTGTAACATCTGATAAACTTTGCTCTGAAAAATGACCCATTCTAAATGACAAGCTTCTGAGACTATTGAAATCAATCCATGTCAATGCACCAAAGATTTGGCACATTCATGCTTTCTTAAGTAAATTGAGAAAACACTTCTCCTTTCTTCTCGCTCTCCTTAACACCCCATAAAGATTTAGTGATACAATTACAAATTGACCCATTGCTGGAAAAGATAGATTTTTATCTTTCCCAAGGATGTTTGTGCATAAGTAAATACAACAGGTCTAACAGGAATTGAAACTCATCATTTCGGTTAACAATTCCAAGCAATTATCTATTACAGCACCTGATATTCCCAAGCGGTCACCCATCTTGGTACTGAACTTAACTTCTTGCTTAACTTCTGTGATCATACTGGACACAGTGTTTCAACATGATATGGCTGTAAGCTCCCTAATTCTTTTATTTCCTGGGTGGCATCATTTGCTATTCCAATGTGCCTTCAGGCTTGTGTAACTACACTACCCAGATAGTTAAATTTCTGTACCTGTTTGAGTTTGGTGTCTCCAATTTGTAGCTTATAGCTAAAAGCTTATTTTGTATGGAGGTTCATTTTCACTTGTGCTTTAGCCTGTTCACTTTCAAAACTCTGCAAAGAAAGGTGACTCTGTTTGATGAATCATAATGCACAATTCCATACAAAAAAGATTGAAGATCTTAACTAGAGAAAACGTCCACATTGTCTTTATTCTTTAGATCTTACTGCATCTGATTACATTCCATTCTGGAGTTGGCAGAACAATCTTGATGGACTTCTTCTTAGAATCTATGAAGAGGTGGAAACTACCCACGCTTGATTCTTTTTCTCCAACCACAAAGAATTTCACAAAACTGTATAAGGAAACTTACGAATCATGTGAAGGAAAGTTATTGATAATATTGGCTCCCGTATAAGCATACGTCCGGGGTCTTTGCTTGGCTTTCCATTTGACTCAACAAATCAACCTATGTTGTGTTTTGATTTACATTTGTCAGTGTGCACAAACCTAGGAAAGCTCCCCGTGTATGTTTGCAAGGGAACAGATGCTGAAAAACAGATTGTTATATTGGTTTATTTATTTGTGTATTCACATGGCACTTGGGATGTCCTTGCTGCTACATTTGTCCTCTCTCTCTCTCTCTCTCTCTCTCTCTTGTCACTGTCAGCTCTGTGTCATACCACCTTTCTGCCAATCAATGTATCATGATGTATGGCTTTCTGACTTTGCCCCTCTACATCTTGACAGATGACTCATCACCCACAACTGGAATTCCCCAACTTCTGGCCAAGCAACACTTGATCCTGCAAGGTTTTTTTATTTTTATTTTATCCACATGTAGACGGCATGTACTGTAACAGTGTATAAGTGGGGTGCTGAAATGTTCTCATCTTCGTCAAGCTCTTCCAAGAGAGAATTCTTTTTGTTCAAGGGCTACAATTTTAGAAAGTTAGTCATGCCAAGAACTTCCAGCATCCCCTCTTCACTTGGTGCCTTGCATATGCACACATTTTAAATTTATAATTTCTTATATTTCTGCATTATTTGTCAGTATGTTTGAGGCAACAAATAGATTCTTTGCAGTAAAATGTTTGCCAATAAGAGTGAGATGTTAACTGATCTAAGATCACAATTCATTTCTATTTATTTTAGTTACTAATTTTTAAACAGAATTTGTGCGTGTGTGTGTGCTATTTGGGCTGATTAATATTTTGATTTTATCTTTTTCCAGATACGAGTTATGTTTTAGCTAATTATAAAACGGAACAGTGCAAGCGGCCACCCCGGCTCTGTCGACAAGGCTATGCTTGTCCACAATTCCATAATTCTAGGGATAGAAGAAGAAGTCCAAAAAAATTTAGATACAGGTTAGTTATTTATTTATTTATGTTTATTGTATTTATGTTGTTTCGCTTTAACAGTTCAAACAATTTTTTTAAATTTTGATTTTATTTTTCCTTTCCTTTTGCCCACAGAATCATTTTTAAAAACTGTCATTTCTCTATAAAGTTTCTAATGTCATTCCTGCTGTTGTTGCATTTTGAAATATTCTTTCCAAAATGAGAAAAAGGAACAAAATTAAAAACCAAAGTGTACACCTATAGAAAACATTTTTCTTTTACATCTGCAAATTATGAGAGGTGAATTGTCAGCAACGTGAACAGATTACACCACTTAAATTGTTTTTGCAATTTTTTCTAATAGAAGTAGATAGGTTCACTTTCAATCCTCCCCAGTCTTTTGATCGGGAGTAGAGGTTTATCTCTTGTTTACTGTTCAGGATTGCTTTTGAATAAATTGGTACTACAAAGGTGCAGTATCTATTAATGTAGTGAATAACTGAAAGATTTTCTAGCCAAACTGAAACAATTTTTTTCTTGGTCACTTAAAGAAACCTGCAATCTTGCATTATGAAATACTAAGGCCTTTTTCTTAACTAATTCTACTAATTACTGAATTTTAAACATAATGCAATCATTTAAATATCTATTTTAGTTTTAATTGCAGGTAAATAGTATAAAGTTGTTTTATTTATTTTATGTTAATGAAACTTGCTTTAAGAACACAAATTTTTATTACAATTAAAACTTCCAAAATATTTAAGTTATTGCAATGTTTTAAAACTTTTAGAAAAATTCATAAAGATACCTATTGATGGTGATTCATTTCACTGCCAGTCAATTTCTTTCAAGAAATGTTAGGTTTATGTAGTGAATTGCACATGGAAATACAGCCTATTAGACATTGTTGTTTTTTCTCTCTTATTTGGAAGCCACACATAAAAAAAGCTAACATAAACAAACTGATACAGATGATTTTTTTGATTTTTTTTTACCTATGATGTTTATTTCCTGCCTTACATAACAGTAATTATTCTCAAGTAAAATGTTTTGATTTCATTTGTTTTGACAAAAAAAAATCTCCAACATAAAACTTTGTAAATCAATCTTAACATTTTTCCTTCTCAGCGCTTTCTCTATAAGCTGCATGCACCTTTTGTTTTGTCACATTTTTACAATTCTTAAAAAAATAAAAATAAAAGCAGAATATTTTATTTCCTCTTTCTGCAATGATAGAATATAGAAATGTCAGTTTTTGCCAAAGCCTAGTATATCAAAATAATTTACAGCCACCTTTCATCTTTTTTTTTTTTTTTTTTTTTTTTTTATTATTATTATTTATATAGTTTTATCAACAAGAATGTTTCTGATGTTTCAAAAAAAGTCTATTCTAGGCCATCCTGTGCATAAAAATTTAAGCATAAACAAAAGTAGTAACAGCAATAAACAAAATTTTCAAGCCATTTTTAAAAATAACAAACTTTTTTTTTTCTTTTTTTATTGGAAAATGTGGTTTCATTCAAAGTGGCTTTGAATGTTTGTATATTACTTTAAATATTAATTTTAGAATCGAGTATTTTTCTTCAAAGAAATTGGATTCTATCCCTAATAGGTTGTCCCAGTGGATTAATTAAAAATAGAATCTCTAACCACTTAATCCTATTGCCCTCCTTTCTTTTGAATTTGATTTGTTTTATCTGCTACTTGATCTTGACTCAATTACAATTGCATTTTCAAATTTATCAGTTGGTTTAAAAAATTGGGAGAAGAAATGGCAGTTTTTTTTTTTTTTTTTTTTTTTTTTTTTTTTTTTTTTTTTTTTTTTTTTTTTTTGTTCAGTTGTCAAATTTTTCTTTTTCTTCTTTTTTGCTTGTTCTTTTTCACAGCCCTCCTTTTAAAAGAAATTCTCTTCCCATCATTTTTCTTTTTCCTTCATAATTCAGCAATTCACTTTTTTATTTCAACTGTTGTACCCTTTCACTTTTCACAAATTCATATCAGCATGAAATCCTGTAGGAATCGTTTTAAAAGAACATTTCCTGTTTTATACTCTTAACCCTGTGGGATGTTTTGTTAGAATTTTTAAAGTGCTCGTAATTCCTAGTGGGCAAATTGTTTCTTTTGGCTCCCTCCCACTACCCCCCTGACTCGGTGAAGGTGTGTGGTGTAGTTGCAGCTCAGTTGTCATGGGAGACTATCCATTTTCAGAAAACCAACATGACTAACACAGGGTTAAAACATCAATTATTTATTTATTTATTTATTCAATTGCTTGTCTATCATTTTTGTTACAGCCCCAAAAAATACCATTTCCAGAAACACTTTTTCATTTATAGGATAAGCAAAAAATAAAAGATTATCGGAGAATAATGTCTACATTTAGTTTTTGGATACAAAACTTTTCTGCATTTTTCTTCTTGTTCTTAAAGATTCTTTAACTCAAAAGCATTCAACCCCTTCCTTCTTCCATAAATGACCCTGCAAAACTTCTTACTCAGTCCAGTTTTTTTTTTTTTTTTTTTTTTTTAACTCTTACTTTTCAGTTATGAGAATGTTGCCTACTGGTCAACATGATTATCTCTCAAACCACTGATCATTTCACTACAAACTTATGCTTCTATATCTATCTTTATGTAGCAATAATTTAAAAAAAAATAAAACATAATAGTATAGAAACTTAAAATCCAAATTAGAAACTTCCATGCATTGAAAAAGACAAGAATGACTATAATAGGAGAGGAAGGATGGGGAGGAAAAAGACAAAGAAAGGAAAAAATAAAATTGACACATTGGATCTCCAGAAGATAAAGGCTCAAGTACTTTAACGAAGGCTCTGATTAACTCTAAATATTATAGTAATAAGCTACATGAACATATTAGACAAAAATTCTGACAATATAGAAAATGCATATTCTCTCTTTTTACATTCATTTGCGAATATTTTTGTGTTTGGTGATTTTAATGCTCAACACATCAAGTGGCTTAATTATTTGATTGATGTTACTAGTATTCAGACTTTCAATTTTTAGTGAATTTCCCTACTTGTTTCCCTAATAAATCTGATCATTCTTTCTTACTTGATTTGGTTCTTGTAGAGCATCACAATTCTATCCTCTTGCCAATTTGGATCACACTGTAGTATCTGTTCATATTTCTTTAGACTCCTTTATTAGGCATGAATCTCCCATTCACAAGACTTTTCTCTGTTATCGGCCTCATGATTGGGATTCATTTCATGATTTTCTTTGAGATGCCCCTTGGATTGATATTCTTAACCTTTTAACCTTTCTATTGAGAATTGTGACACAGGTTTCTTGGGTTAAAGCCAGCATTGATGATTTTGTCTCATCTTGGAAATACCAAGTAAAACCACTCTGTTCAGCCACCATAGCTCACAGGAATTACTTTTTCTGGCTATATCAGCATGATAGTTCTGATCACAACAGACACCTTTTTGTGTCTGCTTAAAACAATTGTAGACATGTCCTCAAAGTAGCTATGTCTTTGTTTGCTGACAGAATAAGCCACTGTATAGCCTTTTACAAGAAGGGTTCTTGTGACTACTGGTGTCTCTGTAATAGTGTATTAAATAAGAGTATGTCTTCTATACCTTCTTCTCATCACTCAATGTGATGTGTTAGCATCTTCTACTGATAAAGCGGAATGTTTTTCTCATAAATTCTCTTTAAATTCAACTCTATGCTCATCTGGAGTATCTTTGACTTTCCATTTAGAACTGAGTCTCTATTTAGTGATATGCATATAACTCCATCCATGGTTTCTGCTATCATCTCTAAACTGGATCCCCTCAAAGCACTGTATCTCTACAATAGTCCTTAAGAAATGTGCTCCTGGACTGGCCCCTGTTCTCTGTAAACTCTATATTAAGTGCCTTGCTTTTGCTTTCCTGCTTGTTGGAAATCCTCTTCGGTAGTTCCAAATGTTAAGATCTCGGCAATCTCTTTGATCCTTCTAACTATTGGTCTATCAGCCTTCTACCTCTTTTTGGTAAAGTACCACTGGCTCTAATCAACTCAGAATTGGTTAAGCCTTTCACCTTGCAGGGTCTTCTTTAAGGTAATTAATGATTATTACTGAAAGAGTTTCGGGCTCTTGCTTTGGATATCTTGAAGGCATTTGACTGGGTTTGGCATGTTGGTCTTCTTCACAGGTTGAAAAGTTATGGTATTTCATGACAAATTTTTGAATTGATTCAATCTTTATTAAATCACTAAATGAAAATGGTTTTGGACTGCTACTCTTCTAGCGTTAATGCAAGTGTAAAGGGGGGGCTTTCTTTGAACCTACATTGTTACTAATTTTCATCAACAACCTTCCTGATGTCCTCAGTTTTTCAACTCTATGCTGATGACACAATCTTGTCTTAATAGTATGTTTCATATGGTTCAAATTGGCAGCTGATCTAAAAAAACAAAAAATGACCTATAATCTGGAGCAAGAAATAACTTGTTAATTTTTTTGCCTCCCAAACAAAACTTCTTTTTTTAATCATCTGAGACAACCATTTTTTGCCTTCTATCAACATGGCTAACCTCCAGGAGAGTGACTCTGTACCTTCTCAAGCTAATGTTTTTTGCTGACTTGGAGAAGTGGAAAGATTATAGTGAATCAATGTTTTGGTCTGCTGCTAGGAAAGTTGGTTTATAGTGTCATGCTAGACAATTTTTCTTGCTGCAATATATCTTACATATTTATAAGTTTATCAGCCATCCCTGCTTTAAATATTGCTTCCACACCTGGTCTGATGCTTCTACAATATATTTAGCAATTCTTTGTAAAATCCAAAGAAGAATCTGCAATTGTATTGGTCCAGAACTGGCATCTTGGTTTCAGTCACTTGCGCTACTGCCATAACGTAGCCTTCCTGTGCCTTTTCTATCGGTACTTTCAGGGTAGTTGTTCTGAGGAACTTTCCTCTATGGTACCTACACTTTATGAATTTAAGTACAGTACTAGATTAGCAGAAAGGTCTCGTTTTACAGTTGGAATGGCTACATGTAACTATA